ATGCTGCTTATATTATATACATTATACACATAAATCATCCAATATCCTACAATATCCTACATCCTACCTACATATCATATCATATATATATACGAAAATCGTACATATCTGTATAAAAAAATATACATAATGAAAAAAAAAACGGTATCTCTCGTCGTCATCGTCATCGTCATCGTCATCATCATCATCATCATCATCATCATCACCATCACCTTTATCATCATCATACGTTTAGACTAAAGGCCTCAACAAACTCATGCCTTGAAAAAATCACAACTTTCGCACCATAAGATCAGCAGTCACATAGAGCGGGAGCACTCATGAGAAAATTTGGTCACAAAATCGCAAAACCATCCCTTTTGCACAAACTTGATTTTGCGGGTTTTTCACGGCCTTGTCACATGGTTTTCACTGCTTTTTCATGGCCTTTTCACGGTTCTTCCACAGTGTCACTATGTTCGCAAATCTCGAAGTTGCGCCCTCAATTATTCAAGCATGGGATATCTTTGGGGTGGGGTGGGACCTTCCTCCGCTAAGTCTCACAAAAATATAACTTCAAAAATAATCACATGGAGAGAACCTCAGTCCTAAAGGCCTAGTTTAACCAGGCCTTTAGCAAAGGCCTAGTTTAGCGAGGACTTGGACCGACAGGGGTATAATATGTATATATATATATATTACCTATGTATTACCTATATATTACCTATGTATTACCTATATATTACCTATGTATTACCTATATTACCCAGATATTACCTATATATTACCTATATATTACCCTGGTTCTTTCAGCTGTACCTATCGCATAAATTGGTCGACTTTCTTTGGAGGTACCATACAAATATATACATATATAGATATAGATATGGATAATGATATCATATGACATCTATATATCTGGCTATGTTAAATAACCAGATGGTATTAATATAATGGTGGTAAACCCACAACCCATCAGATTGTCGGATCGCGCCTCGCCCTAGGGCGATCTCGTTCAACATTTTTGCCACCGCGTCGAAGAGCGGGGCGTCCAGGTACGGCGGCAGCTTGAAGCCTTGGACACCAGATTTACCCCATGAAAAATTGGAATTTCAACCGGCAAAAATGGCATGTTTATGGATTTCACCGAGAAATCCATGGGGATTGATAGTTGATTTAAAATTTATCATAGCTAAGTTGGTTGAAATAAGTATAAAATATGGTCTATATCTATACGGGAGGGCGCTTTTGGCGTTGATGACCTTGATTCTATCTGGGGGATTTGATATCGGAATGTGATATGATGGGATGATATAAGAGCTCTCCTTCGGACTCAAAATGATTCAGCAAAGGTAAGTCTGAAAATGTGATTAACTTGCAGAGTAGAGATATTTCCAATCACGCTAGTCTCAGGCGAGTGTTTCAGGTACCCTCCAAAGTGCCACCGGCCCTTCCCCGGTGCCCAGAAACCAAGGACGCAATCTTTTGTGAAGAGGGGATGCCGACCTGCAACCGTTAGTAGCGGCGTTGCTGCACACCATGCTGCACTCTTTAGTTGTGGCTGGATTCTTGTAAGTCGTTTAAAGCTGGCTTCTCTGAAATTTCATTTTGGGATGATTACAGAATTGCAGCTTTGGAAGTTTGTAAGTATGTTCGTGCATCACAGTTTCAAGCACTTCCCTAAGGTTCAACATGGCTCAGGTTTCGCCCATCTTGGAGGAAGTTTCTGACTGGAGACTCTCTCACCATGCCAAGAAACTCATGGTTTGAACCACTTCAGCGAACTGTGGGAAGTCGTAGCCTCATCCCCAACTGCAACCAGTCGTCAGAATCGAAAACATGGCCGAAAACATCTGCATCAACCAAAGCCACATGGTTTGAAATAGGATTACCATGCGTTTCGAATCATGTGTTGGGTGGCTGGCTGCAGAGCTTCTGGGTTAAATGCTGACCAGTTGTTGAAAATGATGTAAATGACAATCATTTCTCACCGGGAAACGCTACAAATAAGAAGCTTGCAAGGGTCGACACCACTGTTTGCATGTGCAAACAGGCTTCGCTGTCCTCGCTTCGCTTCCATCAGGATGCAATGCCAATGGCTTTGCAACCCAAGGACCCAACGTCCCCTCCTCGTTCCTATACGTTTGGCTCGCCATTGAGGAACCAGTCAGTGCCAAGTGGCCCACCAGAGGCTTTCCAGGCACATTGGGACAGGCCACATTCACCTCCACCGCACTCCTGGAAGCATGACCAGGCGCTTGGTACAAGTACATCCCAACTTGGGAGTCGCTAAGAGTTACCAACCCTCCAAAATTGGATGTGTTTAGTATGGTCTAATGATCCTGGTAATAATAGAAAGATATAGAGATCTTTAAACCAATGCAGTAATCATTATATGTATATATATATACATATATAAATATATATATACATATATACATATATATACATATATATATATATATATATACATATATATACATATATATACATATATATACATATATATATATACATATATATATTATCATATATATATATTATATTAACATATATATATAACATATATATATATAACATATATATAACATATATATAACACATATATATATAACATATATATATAACATATATATATATAACATATATATATAACATATATATATAACATATATATATATATAACATATATATAACACATATATATATATGTAACATATATATATATATCATATATATAACATATATATAACATATATATATACATAACATATATATATACATATATATATATATATAACATATATACATAACACATATATATATATATATAACATATATATATATATATCATTATATATAACATATATATAATTATATATAACATATATATATATACATATATATATAACATATATATATATACATAACATATATATATACATAACATATATATATATAACATATATATATATATAACGTATACATACATAATTATATATAACATATATATATACCATATATATATAACATATATATATATAACATATATATGTATATATAACATATATATATATATATATTATATAAAACACACATATATATATATATATACAAACAATAATCAAAGTCGTGGACCCCCTGCTGTCCCATTTTTTAGAGTCATATCCAGATCTGGGAACATAGCCAAGGCGAGCTACAAATGCTGCAGAACATCTGGAGACTCGGCCAATCGATCCAGCATTTCAAGATTCTCCTGTCATGGACGACCCAAACTGAGGGATCCTCTGGGTGAGAGAAGGGCCATTTGTGATTTGAAACCAAGGATATTTGAGCAGCGATGCAAGAAAAAAAGCAGGCATTTAGAAGAGACATCAAAATTATCAAAATGTATCCGTGGCCTTTCTTTCATCAAAATCTCAAACCAGGGACGGTTCACCTCATACGTTCACTGGGTTGGCCATGGTCCAGGCCACCACAGTATCTACAGCCCCAACTCATTTCACTCATTTCACTCACTTCGCCAAAACACTGATTCAGATGGCCTTCAATGATAGCCCCGAAATGGAGAAGATGTAAGGCTTCCCATGTGGCTCACTGCATTCCTTCAACCTGAACGAATCATGGGCGCTGCTATCGTTTGATGTGTCCCAGAGTGAAACAAAAAATAACAAACTAATATGGTTCAAAAATCAGGGATGGTGCAATAATGCAAATGATAGACATATCTTTGAGAGAAAGTTGTGTAGCCCAGCACCGGGCTTGGATTTGGGCTGGTCTCGGGGTACAAAATTCAGACATAATGGCAGTTTGGAGCATCGGTTGGCAATCGACAATACATGACACGTCGCTCCAAAGACAACAATATGTATATATATATATATAATGGCAAACAAATTTGTCAAATCGCCAGCAACCACGTGTGGGTCAACAGCGGACATTCTAAACCCACAGAATTCCTCACGAGCAGAAGTCTAGGATAGCAATGGAGGATTTGGGTGGATTCTGTGGACCCCACATTAATAATTGTCCTTCATCAACCGCCAAGAAAAGGGGATTGTCTCAAAATTGGGGGGTCCCAAAACCCATCGAAAATATCATGGCTGCCAGCTTTCCCATGAAAACTGCCAGATATTGCCAAGGTCCATCCCTCATCCCATCACAATGTCCCCCAAACGCACCGATCTCCGACCACCGAAAACCGCGCCTCTGTAGGAAGGAGCTGTCGCTGTAGGCCGCAAAGCCCTTGTTTGGCAAGCCCTCGGAGTTGATGCTCGCCGTCCTCCAGGAGATGGGTTGATGCAAGTTGATGCGGTTCAAAGCTATCAAGACCTCACATATCCTCTGCGTTGAAGCTCGTGCTGATGGAAGTCATTGTTCATTCTTTATCATTCTTTTTATCATTCTTTCATATTCTAAATAAGCTGTTTTTTTTTCTCAACACACTCAAAATTACCAACTCCTTTCCTTCCACAGATTCCATGGGGTTCCATGAGTCTCAAATTCTTGACCCACATTGCCTTATCCAAAAATGGTGGATACCCCAACTTACGGCTATGTGGGCGAAAATTATGATCAACAATGGGATGTCCATGGATTTGTGATTCCATTTTTTTTGGACAAACCCATATAAAGTTGGTACAAGGTGGTTTTATATGGTATCCCATAATATCATATAATATCCCCATAAAATGGTTGGTGTTGTACCTCCAAACCATATTTGACAAACAAAATGCCAAACTGTTTGCTCAATTTTAGTCGAATATAGTCAAATCCCCATTAGATAAAGATGATGATGATGATGATGGTGATGGAGATGGAGATGGTGATGGTGATGGTGATGACGATGGTGATGACGATGGTGATGACGATGGTGATGGTGATGGTGATGATGATGATGATGATGATGATGATGATGGTGGTGGTGATGACGATGGTGATTACGATGGTGATGGTGGTGATGATGATGATGATGATGATGATGATGATGATGACGATGGTGATGACGATGGTGATGGTGATGATGATGATGATGATGATGATGGTGGTGGTGATGATGATGATGATGATGATGGTGATGGTGATGATGATGATGATGGTGGTGATGATGATGATGGTGATGGTGATGATGATGATGATGATGGTGGTGATGATGATGATGATGATGATGATGATTGCGACGATGGCGACGACCACGACGACGGCGATGGTTCCCATTCATTCTCATCAAAAAATATCCTCCCCAAATCTTCCTCCCAATTCCGCCTGTCTCCCAGCTGGATCTCCGTGTAGCGCGGCTGGGGGTTGCCACTTCGCTCCTCCAATGTCGCACCTCTGGGCATCCAACTGGCCCACAGAATGCTGGGATTTCAGCAACAATTTAACCATCAAAAATATCGAAAAAGTGTGGTTTAACCACTCCAAATAAGGATTTGAATTTGAAACATCAAATATATTCAAATATGACAAATAAATGGGCTGCTTTCAGGGAAATTCTACAGGAAACCCTTGTTTTAATCATCAAATATAGAAAAGTCTTGTAGGTAGATTGAAACATATTGAAACCCTCAGGGGGCTGCAAAAAAAGCGTTTCATAAGGCCAAGAAAACTAGCGCCATCTGCCTCTGTAGATGTGACATGATGTGACCAAGTCACTCTTGGAGCACAAAGCTCCCGAGGATGATCTGGCAATGTCCATCAGCTGCTGCTCGGTATTGGTGCGAGGGCCACTGGCATTCCTGGCCGTTTCGCACCGAAACAGTTGGAAAGTTGTGGAAATGAAATGTTTCGGTTGGAATGAAAGCTGGAATTTATGAATGGGAAAATACATGAAATGAATTGAAATGATGGAAAATCAAAGGTGGATCCAGTGGATTCTGAACATAAAACAATTTCATTGACTGACATTGATGTTCATTTCAAATCGTTTGAGGTATGCCAAACATTGAAACATCCTTCAAAAATGGGACTCCGCTCGTGTGGCAGCCACCGCAAATTGGCTGAGTCAAACCAAGGCATCCAAGGCTCAAGATGCAGCAAGACAGCTGAAGGCCCGCCAGATTGCAACCGATATCAATCTTCTCCATGGCACGCTGAGTTCCACTGCGATCGCTGAGTTGCACTTATCACATGGATTTAGCTTGGAAAGATCTGCAGTGGAATCAATCCAGCCTACGTAACCTAATCAAGATAGGGCCACTTTGATTGTGACCAGAACTTTGGCAAATGGCAAAGCCTCCAATGCATGCCCCTTCAGGAAGAACAAATTGACAATGCCCTGCAACTTGCATGTCAGACCTAATCAATGGCTGAAGCAAAATTGCGACAACATCATCACACGGATGCGGCTTCTTTAAGACATCCGTCTGGAAAGACTGTTTCAAATGCCTCAAGATGTTTCAAGTTCCTTTGGAATCAAACGTTGCAATCGAAATCCTTTCCAACAGTGCTGGGGCACATACTGTAGAATTTTCTAAGTTGCAAGCCGCGAGAGCCATACTCTGATTAGTATCTTAAAGGCATCTCTGCCTTATGCTCATATCTACCCGGCTACTAGTTTTTTTTTGGTCCACTTCCTACACACGAATGCCTTAGGCCATCTTCTTCGTTGGGGCGGTTTTGCGTTGTTTCTGTGACCTTGTGAACCGGGTACGCGACAAAACCCTAGAATCACCAGGCTTGTACACTGTATTTGGGGTGCTCTCATGGGGTTGTGGTGGGATGATAACCCAAAATACGACATGTACCAACTCCCTGAATACTGCTTGCTAGGGTTTCTCATCTCGGACTAATTCGCTAATCCCATTTTTTAATCTTTGAGTATTTAGTTCATCCGTTCATCATCCCATGGGTATAACATGGTATAACCTCATGAAACAACCAGTGGTTTAGCCATGAATCACCAGTGGTTTCGGAGTGAAAGTGAACATCTCAGGTCCGCCTGCATCTTGGTGAAAGCCTCCGAGAGTCTCGCAGGCCCCTGGCGAGACCAGCCGATGGGACACGGGAGAGGACAAGGAAGGAACCACCTGCTCCTGCTAGGTGGGAAATTGTGTTTTTTTGGGGGAGGTCATCTTTCTGTGAATGTCCGCAAATCCAAAAAAAGTTGATTGCCTATATAGTGTATAGAGGTGTGAAATGGGCCAATTCAGCTCCAATGTGAAAAGGACCAGTGACTGGACTTCTGCTGGCAAAGAATCCAGCGTGCGGTAGATGTTATGAGGTCTCAGTCTGTTCTCAATTGTACTTTGACCCCGTCAACCACGTTAAGCATATTGGAGCGAAAAATCAATAAACCATTGGCATACCATAGTAGATCATGGTATACAGTATAATATATATATATATCACAAGTTCCCTCCATTGAAGATTTACTGGGTGAGCTCACCAAAGGGTATGAAACATCACCACCAGACCAAGCCTTGCTATGTCGGCTATACGCTTGAGGATCCTCGTCATCCTCATCGTTGTATCTGGGCGATCCGTGTCGCTATGGCCACTATGGGACGTGGCCGAAAACCCTGGCTGGTTGTGTCCCCCACGAATTCATAGAGATAGTGAAAATGAATTGTGTGGTTCCTTCTCAAGCTATTGATGGTGTTCTTCTCCTCCTTTCCCTGGGGGAACATCTCAAACATAGGGCGAAGGACACAGTTTGGGATGAAACGCACGTGCAAGCCACTGTATTTGAGGTTGCCGTCTTTCCTGTCACGGGTTCCAATCAATTCCAATGGGAGATATTTATTCCACATCGATGACAATAAATAAATAAATCTATAGATACATCAAAGAATATAAAAACGGAATCTCATGAACAGACGAATAAAGACATGAATAAACAGGTATGCAATCTAGATGCATGTGTGTACATATCTGCATGTAAATCTTAGGTATCTGCGTTTGTTTGGCTATTCCCAGCGGGCTTTGCTCCAGCTCCCCAGCCCCCCCCCCCGCGGTCACATGGTCCAAATTTGGATGTCGTGGTCTCGTAGGGCTACCTCGCGGAGTACTGGCTCACAAATGGCCTTGTTTAATCTTAACCCAAGATTAGTCATCAATAGTCATTCATAGTCATGCATAGTCATTAATAGTCATTAATAGTCATTAATAGTCATTAATAGTCATTAATAGTCATTCATAGTCATTAGTAGTCATTAGTAGTCATTATCATTCACTATGACTAGTGGGGGTGTTAAAAATGATTAATAGTGATGGATTGCCAATAATGATTAGGAGTCATTACTCCGTAGTGTAATAGTCATTGATTTGACCCGAGATTTAGGAAGTTGTCACAATTTTGGAACCCCCCATTTTATAGTGAAGGTTTATATGAATCCAGGGTTGACATGACTATCAGCCCATCCATTCTAGGGACCTGATTCTGTTGACCGATACCATTGTGAGTTCAAACTTTCGGACCAAACCAGCTTTTTAGATCTGATTTTGTGTGTGTTGTTCTTTTAAGGAATTCACCGCTGCATTGAATACCAAATATATAACATTATATAACCCCCAAATCGGCTTGCTATTCACAGCCCAGGCCCAAACAATTATATATTCAGTTTCGGCATCCCGCGCAGGGTGTCGAGCCATAATAACTTTGGTTTGTCAAGCCAAAGTTATCCAAAGGCAACCCCTGACCTTCGTCTATACCCCGAGATCAAACCACTTGGGAAGCCAATGTTGTATTCTAAGGACCTCAAGAAGTATTACCCAGCACAATAGCCAAGATTCCTGGAGTTATATTAATATAATATACGTATATATATATATCATATCAATATTAACAAATCACCAAGTCCTCAGCTGCCGGATCGGGGACCTCTACGTCATATGCTTCAAAGGGAAAACTTTTGAGATCCGCGATATCCTGCAGGGAGTGCACAGCAACCAAGTTCGCCTCGCAACCCCACGGGTGAATCATCATTTTCCCTATCAACATAGCCACGTGCGCCCACATTCTGACATGCTGATGGAAAAACCGGATACCAATAATTAGGACATTGACGCAATATACTTGTCTGCATAAGGTGAAAGCAACAAACCTTCAAGCCGAATCAAACTGCTAGTTGAGATCTGAGCACCGATACGTTTGCTGAAGGAAGTGATCAGTTCCGCAGATGAGTTCCGCGGAGACTGAAATGACGTGACGCGGACCACTGTTGACACTCTGATTCTTCATCCAAATCCTACCTCCTTTGATCTCCGCAACTTCAAACAAACGCATGTAAGGTGGGTAAATGCATGAAAGTCATGATGACATATATTATATGGTGTATCCTGCCTGTCATCCCCGGTGCAACGATGCCCATTGGGAATCATTTGCACCTGTCCTGGTTGTACACGATATGTGTGTGGCTGAGGAGATGTGGCGTCTCTGCCAGAATCTGCGGGCAGACGGCCAAAAGCATGCCGAGTAGCTAAGTTGCTGGATTCCAATATTTCGAATTGGATACCCAACTATAAACAGTGGAAAATGAGGGAACAAACAATAGTTTCCAGACAAATATATGTCCAAAACTTTAGTTCTCGAACATGATGTATCCTACCATGGAAATAAAGTCCATATAAAATATGGATGTCCCATTATATTAAACAATATTGAATATGTATCCTACCATGGGCTTCAGAGCCATACTGTACCACCTCTGGCGGGTCACTTTCGATGCCTGATCCATGAAAATCCAGAGTTTTGCTGCAATGCAAACCTCGTTCCCGGTTTTTCTTTTTGAAAATGTGCCAATTTTTTTGGGGGGAACAAATGGATCCTGAACACATAATATTACAAGAATACCAAGATCGATATTGGGTGGCATTTGGACACCCATGGGATCTGGCCTGATGGAAGATCACGGAACCGAGGCCCATGGAAAAGACGCTCACTTGATCAATGTCCAAGTGCCTCCGGGCATCACTGGAGTGTCAACTCGCAAATCGCGCAAATGGCAGGCAAGTCATTGCCAGTCTAGCAGAAAAAATGACTATAAATCTATAAATATATAAATATATAAATATAGTGTATATATATATTACTATATATTACATATATGATATATATATATGATATATATATATATGATATATATATATATGACTACATGACTACATGATACTATATGACTATATTAGCACGTGTGGCTCACAATTCTTTGCGTCACCAAAAGGTCGCCTGAGTACTCCCCGAATGACCGCTGGTCCTTGGACGCCAAGATGGATGGTCAATGGATGGCAATGACGGGCCAACCATGGCATATTTGCAAAACACCCAGGGAAAAACTGGGGAAAAGGCATGCAAAAGGTGCAAAAGTGGAAGAATTTTAAGGAAGATTCCGCAAGAACCCATCGTTGAAGTTGTTCTTTGGCGAAACGAGCATGAAAAGCGAGTTCTTGGGGGGGTTCTGGTAAGCCTTTGAGCCACAGTGACTCTCGGATGAGTCACTGGCAGGCTGAGTGCCGGACCATATTGAATCCATCGATGTCGGCTTAGACCCAGAGATGGAGACTCGGTGAGGCAGTGCCAGCAGGTTGGTGATTAGAAAGTTTCGGTTCAGGGAACGTGAATCTTAGATGGACCTGTGGCTGAATCTTGCTATGAAACAGGAAGGAACTACAAAAGATTGGCAGTTTTCATGTTCCTCGTTGCTAGCAGAAGGAAGCAACCGCAACTGTGGGAAGACCTTCCAACACAACCATGGTCCTTTATGGAGGTGATGTGTCATTACATCCCAGGGCTTGTGCGCTTGCACATCGCCAGCACCCATCTTTTTTGAGCCACACTCCCTGAAAATGGAGGTTCCGGGCGTCAATGATGACGATGTTGTATTCCTTCAGGAAAAGGTACCTCCCAAGCACCAGGGCTATAGAAAGTTCATGAAAGTTCCGATCCAGCACCAATTCTTAGCTTTCCCTGGATTGATGACGTTTCAAAATGTTTCAAATGTAAAATGTGTTCATCATTTCATCCATGTTCATCCCAATTCCCAATTCCCAGACTTCCCCACACATTCTCCATATGAAGGCCAGCTTTTTCAAAACGGGAAGCTCGCGTCCACCAGCACGCAGGGCAGCAAATAAACCCTCAGCGACCTCGGAGCATAGGCTGTACGTTGCCATCGCTTCCGTTTTCTCATGGGTCGCCTCGGTCACCTCGCAGTCCATGGCCCAATGTCCGGGCTGCAAGCAGCGGTGGCAGTGGCCGTGATCGTAACGGCACTCAGATGGCGCCTTGGAACATGTCCCATAGTTGGCCTCAGGGTGGGGAGATGTTGGGAGGACACAATTTTATTAATTATCTGCATGGAATGATGTAATCTGTGCTGTCTTTGGGGCCAAATATGGTTTTGAAATGGTTCGAAAAAGGTTTGGTGGACGTGTTCCTTACATGGTTTTTGACACAGGCTTCTATAATCTTACATCTTCAAACATCTGTGAATGCCCCAAAAAGTGGCTTGGTGACAAATGAAATCCGCTCGACTTGAAATTGTCTTCGTATGTCTTCTCCTAATTGCGGAAACCAATGGTTGGTCTATCTCCCAGCCCCGGACCATCTTGGACCAATGTAAAGATCAATATCTGATAAAGGGAAAATATGGTTTTGAATGGTTTTGGTCGGTTCACCGTAGTATCCGGAGTACCCTTCAATTCACATCAGAATTTGGTCTGGTACGGATGTTCATTCTCTCAGAAGAACCTTGTGATCTCAAATCGTTGGCACAAAGCATAATTATCTCCCTTAACATTGCCATGAACTCGTTGTAAGTCCACTATTTTTGGGCAAGCCCAAATCACATGTTTTGGTTCTTAGATGTTCTTGGCAATATATATATATATCCAATTACATACCATAAAATCCCCATGACTATATCCCAAATAAAGTGGTTGGTTTTACAATGTCATGTCTGAAAAAAAAAACACTGCGGTTCAGTGGCGAAGCGGCAAATCTCCGTGCCTTCCTTGGTCCTTCTGACAGGATGCTGCAAGATTTGTTGCATCCGCCGGCGGCGGACTTTGACTGGGCGAACGTGGTGGCAAAACTCCTGGCGCAGGGACCCATTGGAATTGGTGGGCATCGTTCCTGGAAAAAATGCGCAGTACGGATCGAAATGGTCTTATTGGTGGGGACCGGAGAGTTGAAATTTAATCCCTGAGGGGACACAGTCCTCCCACCATTTGATGTACTCTTGGAGGTTCACAGGAGCCTTTTGAAGTTCAGAAGCCAACGCCTCACTCTTCACTGCAACATACCGCAAGTGGGGCATAGTGCTTGACAGCAGCTGCAATAACTCCAGCACATGGGTCAACTCTCGGTTGCCACCAATATCTGCAAAAACCACCGTGAAAGGCGGGCTGCAGCCAGCCAGGATCCTCAAGAGTTGGTGGGCGCTCATCGTTTCGTTTCTACCATCCGTTCAGGTGACCGTTAGATATGACCACCCGGAATATCCGATTCAAAATCCCCCGCATCAATCCCAACCCAAGTGAATCTGAGAACTCCATCAATATTTGGTACATTAAAAAATACTGAAGAGAGGTCCCCACCCACTGACATTCTATCTGACATAAATTTCGACCGTCTATCGGACATTCTATCTGGCATTTTATCTGGCAGATATTCTGGCATTCTAGCTGGCATATGTTCGGGTCCCGTGCCCCACTGCATCCGGAGCTTGCGATACTCAGGTCCATTGGAGAAGAAAACCACGACGTGGGGAGGTGAATGCAAATCTAATGGCCGCCCCAAAGCCCAACCTTCCAATGACAGGGGTTGGACGTTTTGAGATTTCCACCATGAACCCTATGTTTGGGGTGTATTACATCCCTATTGTTGGGTTATACCTTTCTATCCTTTACCCTTCAATCTCCATGACGGCTCCTCAAGAGCTCAGGATGCGCCAGCATATCAAAGCGCAGGCTGCGCGCTACGTCTGTCAGTTCCGCCTCCTTTAAGCGGGCGGACGTGAGCTCCACACATTCCTGGAGATGATTCCTAGGATGTGCAGCCCTGGGAATGGCCGAATCTTAAAACCAGTCAAAGTTTGGGATTTTATCCCCAGTTAGTTAAGGGTGTTAAGGGATGTTAAGGGTTAATGATGGTTAATGGGTCATATAGATTGGCTTAAACCGACTTGAAGCTGGGATGCACCATCCAACTTCTGGGGTTGTCGCGGATTGCACCAAAAGTGGCGCACTTGAACCGACATCATGTGGGTTGCACCCTTTGGCTTGCCGCGCAGCTTTGAATAAAACTACAAAATTCCGAAAGTGTTGAAAATCATGTTTCCCATGCTTAAATTCTGGTTAATTGGGGTAAGATGGGGTAAGTATATCTATTTTTTGACAATCACAAGTGGAAGCAAGCACATAGGATTACGTCCCAAGCCCACATTACACCATTCCAGAGTTTCACCATTCCATGCACCATCATTTTCGGTGAGCTCCGCAAGTGAAGTCCCTTATGACTTCAAAATGCCAACTAAAAATCACAGAAAACCGTGAAAACATGAGCCTCCAACCTCTCCAACCCTCCAACCCCTCCCATTTTCCTCCCATTTTCCTCCCATTTTCCCCATATTGTTCCATCCTTGGAGGTGTCCAATGCCAACACCTCCATGGCCTTGGACGCCAACAGCACGGTGCACTGTCCGAAGCAACAGCCCACCTCCAGGATCCGGGCGCTCGGCTGCGGGCGACACCGGGCCAAGTGCCGGAAGGATCTGGGGACGGTGGTCGGATGTGTTCGGGAAAAAAATGGTGAAACACATGGTGAAACAGGTGAAACATACTATTAAAAAAATATAGATGTGGATATTGCATGGTTTTCATGATTGGACTAGAGGTGTTAAATGGGGTTGATTGTTGTTTTCAGAATTGTTTGACCTGTGTAAAGTTTAAGCTAGGTTTGTTAATATTGTTAATCATGAACATTGGGATGTTTGCCATCAACAACTCAGACATGACATACCTAGTAGTAACAGGAAACATTCTGTCCGGTCGATTCCCTTGGAAAAAACGATGAAAAACTGCCGCTGCGGCACTGCGTCGTTGCCACCACCTCCAACTGGATCTCTGCTGATTGCCATGGCTCACTGGGAAGATCTTCCTCTACCAGCAGAGGGAGCCAAGTAGCCATGGCACTGGCTACGGCTACGACATACTACGACATCTGGGCTAAAAAATTGATCTCCTATAGTACTACCACATCTGGGATTCTTCGATTCCCTTGAATGCAATGGCTTGTCTAGCTGATTCTGTGGGTAGTTTTGACCCAAAACTGAGATGTGATGCTCTGTACTGGATGCATTCCGAAATGGGGAAGGCATCAAAAATCTTCAAATGGAGGTCCTGCAGATTCTGGTACCATTTTTTCTATCCCAAACTTGTAAAGATGATTAAAGATGGCTGTGTCCCAGTGACATGCAATGACTATTGTCATTCATCCATAGTTCTTCTCCTGACCTGGAACCGAGCTGTGGCCTCTGGGATGGCTGGAGTCCCTGGAGTCCCTCCCGTTTTATGGGCTTCCCACAGTTGCTTGGTGGCCAAAAAATGCCCAACTAGACGACGTGGATGGTTGTGAAATCCTGCACCACCAATAGGATGTTTGAAACCCTGGTGGCTCAACTGGTGTAGAATTTCTTCCATCTGTAGGTCGTGCACTTATTTTCCTTCTTAAAGACCTTGATCTTGGTAAGGTGTATTCTGCATTAGATAATGTTTATGTGTATAGTAGAATGTACCGTACCCCCTTTACACTTTACATCCCATCACTACCTTGGAAGTGTGGATCCTTTGGATCCTAACTGACCAACTGCGGCGCACACGGCGGGCTGGATGAGTTGCGACCAGTGCGCTTCGACACCGCCCACATCGCCAATCAGCAACAAGGTCTCACGAGGCGTGTTGCAGATGGCCGGAAGGAACTGAATGGGATGCAAAATCTTGGGATTTACCGATTTACCTGGGAATTTTATGGAATTTTCATGTCATGGGTATGTGACCAACAAACACTTGGGGCTTGCAAATGTGGCCCTGAAAGCAAAACCACGCCCAAGGGTCTGGGTCTTTTTTTACCACCGTCCTCCCACCGATCACCAGGGCCTTCTTCATCTGGAAGCGCTCCTGAAATTTCAAATAATCCGCCGTGACGCCCCTGGAGTGGCACAAGGAGCGCACCGTCACCTGCAGCAGAGGCATCAACAGACCTGGTTTAAAGATAGGTGCCATGTGGTGCCACAACCCATCAACATGGTTTGTTGTTTTCTGAACGATCATGGTTTAATGAAAAAATATATTCATTGAAAGGTTGCAAATAGTGGTTGTGATTGCGCGGTGTGAGATGAAGAGGACGGTTCGCGTCTTTTCACCATTGAAAGAGATGGCCTTGCACATAGCAAGATTGCGATCCAGTGCACCAGCGGCATATACTATATCACTATGTATGCCTTACAATTTGCATAATGAATATAGATGTGTAACTTGTTCCTGCTTTTCAGTGATTAAGATTACGAATTATCTGTTTGTAAACAGCCAACCCCTGCATCGGATTTGATGCAGATCGTCTCCAGCTCCATGCCTCTAAGCACATGTGCTCCTCGATAGCGTGGAACTTGTCCACAAACATGTCCATCAAATGGCTGCGTTCCTGCTCCGGGATGCAGGGGTCAGCATTAAATCAAAAGTTGTCCTGTGAAAGATGTTGCTCTGGCCATCAGATTCCGTCTGAAATCCATGAAACGGATTTACGCCTCAAATAATAGTACTTGCATGCCGACAACTTCTCCCACCTTCGAATTCTGTGCCCACAAAATGCCAATTGATCTACCGAGCCAGCGACCTTGGCTCCCAACTTCAGTTGACGAGCAAACTGCCTCAGCGGATGGAATTCTGGACAGCATAGTGACATAGTGGGAATTCGAAAGGGAACCGAGCCAATGATAGGGATTACAGCATATAAACATTGAGTTAATTGAGTCGAAGATGTCTGTATTTCTATGGTGGGGTCTGTTGACTAGAAAAAAGTAAAGATCGATCCCCCGACTTTGAGCCACGTCTCCATGTCTGGTCATTAGCCGGGCTACTGCCCATAATTCACCAAATATTGGGTTTCCTGCAAAGTTTCCCTGGAAGCATTTCTAGGATTCTTGGATATTCTTGGTAAGCTTTCGTGAGGTGGCAATGAGCTATGATGCTTCGATGATCGCGCCGGAAGAACGAATCATTGATGACACAGTGTCAACTGTGATGATGCATCAATGATCTCACCTCGCCAAGCCATCAAAAACTATCAAAAGACTCGAGTAATTCAGCCGCTGTGGCTCACAAAGAACAATATCATCTGATATCATGAGGATACAGTATCCTTAGTGTTCACATCAATAATCATCAATATGTATAATTAAATATATATATATTATATTATATTATTATAAAAAGACTTTAAGATTCCACAGCGAATCTAGGGTGAAGCTGGGCTTCCGCTCTTCAGCTATATATTATATTATATTATTATAAAAAGACTTTAAGATTCCACAGCGAATCTAGGGTGAAGCTGGGCTTCCGCTCTTCAGCAGGCCGAACTCCAGCTCAGGCCTGGAGATCACTGAAACACTGGGACTATCATGGGATTAAATTATACGGGGATTTCTTTCATCTACCAACTGCTAATTTGAGTAGTTCGCAAGAACCCCCAGCGTATCTTGATATATCTTGATATATCTTGATATATCAAGACATATCAAGATATATCTTGATGTATCAAGATATCTGAGATACGAGTGGATGTGATATATCTTTAAAATCACTGATGATACTCCAGATGCTTTCCAGAACATAATTCTGTTCACATCCCTAGGGACAAAAGATAGTGGATCGCCCCGCCAGGATTTTTTTCATCTGGAAGCAGGGATAAATAGGGATAATCATGCAAAGCATCTACGCAAGTTGAGGACTGAGTCACTAGACAATTCACTCAGACTGTGCTTTTTAGAGTGCCTATTCACAGCTAAACTGATATCGATCCACTGAGCCGCGAAAAAATATGACTTGTCCCAAGACATACCCGCCTATCAACAGCTATTGAGTCAGTACCTAATCCATTGAATATTTCACAAGCCTTCGGAATAAACAACCATAGTGGTGACATACCTTTCATCATCTTGCATCCCAGATTATATGTGAGATATCCATAGATATCCCGACATCGCTCCAAACATGCCCGCGGAAACCACTGAGTTTCAGGACAAGATGTGTGTCTTCGTTGCATCGCGCATCTGGGAACCACGAGAAGAAGGGGCGTTTTAGAATGTGTGTGTAACTGTTGCATGTAAAGTTGACCCTGGATTAATGAGCCACAAGTTGTTCATACGGGGAATAAGGGTCCACCGCAGTTTTTGGGACCAGGAACACTGGGATCTCCCAATCTGTTGGACCAGGATTGAGATCTGTGGGATATTCACATATGCGAACTTCTATCCCTACTGATAAGACAAAGCACTTCGGAACAATGGAACACTGCAGTAGACTCCAGAATTGAATAGCCTGTGTTTCCAAGAAAAGGGAACACATTGTTTGTTGCTCACCACGATTGCAACAGTTTCAAGAATGGGTTTTGGTTTTAAAAAAACGTCTTGAGCAAAGGTAAGATGTTTCTCAAAAAAATGCAGATAAATCCTCCCAGTGTCGAAATGGGGAGCCCCGTACCCCCAGTTCCACTAGATCAAATTTCATTTTCCCAATATTCATTGGATTTCACTGGCAAATTTTGGGGTTGGTACCCATCTTTTGGACGAACCCGAATCATCGGCTATATGGTTATATTGTTCATACCATACAGCACCAATATATCCCACTATACGTGTATGTAACGCATGTATTGTATTGTATTGTATTGTACTGTACTGTACTGTACTGTATTGTATTGTATTTGTGTGTGTATTTGCATTTGTATTGTAGTGTATCGTATTGTATTGCAATGTATATTCTGTATGTTATGTATGTTATGTATCCAAATTGTATCCGACTATATCCCAAGTATACTCCAATGTAATAAAAGGATTGGTATTTCATAGCCCTATCACTTTTCTCCTGAAAAGTGAATATTGAATAGCGAGGAGCAAATTAGAAGCAGCGTCCGACAATTTAACATAGCTATGGAAGCCAAGGCCCATTTAGTTCGATGATTTCCCTATTAAAAATTGCCATATTCCATGGCAAACTGTGAAATTACCAGAGGGTCCGCCGAGGAAAACCATCCGCCACCCGGGCAAACCCGACCGTGCTGCGGCCCACGTGTTGGAACTTCAGGACCTTTGCGCCCCTCTCCTGACCAAGTTCACAAGGAGGGCATTGTAGAAATCTAGTGGAAAAAAATATATATATATATACTGTATATATATATATACTGTATAAATATATATATATATGGAGGTTTCCTAAAATGGGGGTACCCCTGAATCATCCATTTTAACATATTATGTACGTGTGTGTCTACACGTAAATAGGTGTTCAAATATGTGAATGTATGTAAACCCATGCATGCATGCATGTTTGTGTGTAAATGCATGTCTGTGCGTAGGTACATACATGTGCGACGGTACATCTATGTGTATGTATATATTAATATGTGAATGTGTGTGTGTGTGTGCAAACGTACGTATATGCTGTGTATGTGTGTGTGTGTGTACATAAAGATGCACAAAGACAGTCCAGAACTCTATATATAATATGTGCATGCAAGTGAGTGAGTGAGTGAGTGAGTGAGTGAGTGAGGGAGTGAGGGAGTGAGGGAGTGAGGGAGTGAGGGAGTGAGGGAGTGAGGGAGTGAGGGAGTGAGGGAGTGAGGGAGTGAGGGAGTGAGAGAGTGAGAGAGTGAGAGTGAGAGTGAGAGTGAGAGTGAGGGTGAGAGTGAGAGTGAGAGTGAGAGTGAGAGTGAGATTGAGAGTGAGAGTGAGAGTGAGAGTGAGTGAGTGAGTGAGTGTGAGTGAGAGTGTGAGTGAGTGAGTGAGTGAGTGAGTGAGTGAGTGAGTGAGTGTGAGTGAGTGTGAGTGAGTGTGAGTGAGTGTGAGTGAGTGTGAGTGAGTGTGAGTGAGTGTGAGTGAGTGTGAGTGAGTGTGAGTGAGTGTGAGTGAGTGTGAGTGAGTGTGAGTGAGTGTGAGTGAGAGTGAGTGAGAGTGAGTGAGAGTGAGAGTGAGTGAGAGTGAGTGAGAGTGAGTGAGAGTGAGTGAGAGTGAGTGAGAGTGAGTGAGAGTGAGTGAGAGTGAGTGAGAGTGAGAGTGAGTGAGAGTGAGTGAGAGTGAGTGAGAGTGAGAGTGAGAGTGAGTGAGAGTGAGAGTGAGAGTGAGTGAGAGTGAGTGAGAGTGAGTGAGAGTGAGTGAGAGTGAGTGAGAGTGAGTGAGAGTGAGTGAGAGTGAGAGTGAGAGTGAGTCAGAGTGAGTCAGAGTGAGTCAGAGTGAGTCAGAGTGAGTCAGAGTGAGTGAGAGTGAGTGAGAGTGAGTGAGAGTGAGTGAGTGAGTGAGGGAGTATTGGTGTAGTCTATAAGTATAATTACAGCCCTCTAGAAGCCAACCAAAGCATTGGGAAAAAGGAGTGGCTCGGGAGCCCTTGAATCTTGGGCAGGTCACAAGGCATCAAGCAACCCCCATAGATCCATTGTGTTGCGACGGCTCTAAATTCATCCTGCTCCACACTTTTCTACGAACTTGCGGACTACGCACATCTACTTCAATCACAGCTGACAGAAAGACAGCAGCACGAGAAACTGTGAAGACCTGGCAAAGCAACTCCTTGCAGCAGGTTTAAATATTTGCCCAATTTCAATGTCTGAAGACCACTTGGTAAGGCCACGTCTTTCAGACTCCGGTTAAATTCCTCACCAAATGACAAGCTTTGAAGACCGCTTGGCAAAGCCACTCCTTTCAGGCTCTTGTTAAAATACTTCCCAAAGGTCAAGCTCTCAAGACCAATCGGTAAGGTCACCCCTGCCAGTCGTTGGTTGCAATTCTCATCAAATGTCAAGCATTTAAGACCACTTGGCAAGGTCACTCCTTCAAGGCTTTGGCTAAATTCCTCACCAAATGTCAAGTTCTGCAGACTGCCTGGCAATGTCACTC